TGGGGGGGGTTGTTTGTTTGTTTGTTTGGTCTTGCTTTTTTTGGTTTTGGTTGGTTTTTGGTTTTTTTTTTGGGGGGGGTTGTTTGTTTGTTTGTTTGGTCTTGCTTTTTTTGGTTTTGGTTGGTTTTGGGAGGTTTTTTTGGGGGGGGTTGTTTGTTTGTTTGTTTGGTCTTGCTTTTTTTGGTTTTGGTTGGTTTTGGGAGGTTTTTTTGGAGGGAGAGGTGGTTTGTTTTTTTAAGTTTTTCCCTGTATAAGTAAATATAGATATTTTATTCTAACTCCTATGGTAAAATATTTTTTAAAAATAATGAATCATTAGACAATACCTTTATATTTTAATGAAAAATATGGTATTTATTCTTACCTCTTCATCTGATTCTTGTTCTGGAGAATTTTCCAACCCCAGCTCAATCAAATACAAAACCATGCAAAGCACATGCTCTGATAAATTCTGATGATCCATTAATATCTAGGTAGAAAAACATTCACATCTTAGAAGACTAAAGCTTCAATACATCTAAACTTAAAAAAAAGTGTTCTGAATAATACATTTTGGACTCTTCAGGTTTTATATTTTTTTTTTAAATTGTTTAAAAATTATTCTGAGGTTTAGAAAAAAACTAACCTTTGATCATCACCAAAAATGCAAAATTTAATTTTACATCTTTCCAGTCAGAAAAAACTTTTAAGTTATTACTAGTTCAAGCTGTGATTTACTTTAATTCCAAAGTGGCAGGTAAAGCTGCACAGACACCACTACTGTGAGGCACAAGCCTTCCCTCCCTTTTTCATGTGATCCATCACATAAGGCCTCACAAGGCCCTAGTCCTACAAGCCATGCCTAAATAACTGGGAACCTCAGAGGGTCAATATGAACTTAGTTCAAAACCAACCTGCACATCATCTTTTTTAGTTACAAATAATAAACAACCTTATCTTTAAATTAATAAATGCCCATATCTTTCCTCTAACACAGCTCTTAATGCTTTGAGAGGAAGAACCAGTGCTGCTGAAATTAAAAACCAGGACAGCTTTTCTCTGGAGAATATTCTGATTTAAAGGAAAGAAAAATGGCAAAAACTTGCAAGTGACTAAAAAGAAGTTTATGAGAAAATATATTTAAAATTTCATTGTAGACAGGCTACTACAAAAAGTTTCAGTGTAGCCTAATAAAGTTTTAGATATGACTTCGTTTTGAATGGGAGGGATTTCCTAAGTAGATAAACCCATTAAAAACATCAGAGATAAAATCCTTTAAAAAATACATTGTTTTACAATATCTTTTCTAAAAAATGCTTGAGCACCTGATTTAATCAATCCCAACCAAATCTCAGATTATAGAAGTTATTTAATTAAAAAGGGGACTCAGTATTATGTCAATATGAAGAGCATGTGCAATTGTATCAGTCAGAATCAAAAGTCATGCTGACCAACACTTCTGAAAAGTAAACTCATCAAATGTAGTTTACTGTTCTTCTGTAGGAAGTCCCAAAAGTCAAGAGATACAATAAAGGCTGTGACAAATTGGTAAAATTTCACAAATACACCAGACATCATTTAAGCCAACCCCACAGGATAAATCATTATGTATTTTCTACCATCCATAAATCTGGTAGAAAAGTATTTGGCATTTCAGCTAAAACAGCAACCCAGAAATGTTAAGATTCTCAAGATTTAAGTCCTTGAAGGTTCTTGATGGAATAAGAGAAAAAGCAGCCAAAAAAGAACTAATGAGCAAGACAGTAAAAGATAATGCATTCCTTCCCTACTTTCTCCATTTTTGTTCCATATCAAAATATTACTTCATCTTCTACATAATCCCAAACTCTTCTTTCCTTCAGCAGCATTCCTGTATTACAACGGTTATTTTCTATTCAACAGAAGCTTAATAGGGAAGCAAAATAGTTTTAGGGAAGCTGAGAGCACTTAAAAGCGCACAAAAGGAAAGTCTGCCCAGCAAAGGCACTACTCAATCAAAGCACTTTCTTACAGTCCCTCCTCTGGCTCTGTACTTAGGAAGTGCTGCAGAGACAGATTCTAAGTCCCATTTTCTGATGAATGGACTCTTGAAAAAGGATGCACTTCTCTTAAAGACAGCAGTCAGCTATTGACAACAAAACCAAACACAACTTAAGGACATCAATTAGCCCTAAAAAACAAGTGCTATAACATTATCAAAAGCCAGAATGTGCCCGGGCAGTGATGTTAGAACCATTTGCAGTTATAAGTCCTATTTGCTCTTGAGGATATAAACCACCAAGGTTGCATATATTTGAACAAGATGCTGATGCCTTAAAACTCTGCAATGGGAGCCAAAGGAACATCACTCATGCCACTGTGCTCCTTGGGACCGTCATGGAAGAACAATTTGAATCACAACTCTGATGGTTAAGACAGTGTTCCTCAAAGTAGAGGAGGACTGTTCATCCACTTGGGTACCTGACTTAGTGTGTGCATATATGAATTAATCATTCATGAAATAATGGAAGTGGAAGGAAAAAATCTCATACTGGACATAGCAAATAAACAAAAAATTGAACCTGATTACTCTAAATAAACTTTAAAAATCACGCTTCTAAGGACTTTTGTAAAAAATGTGGAAGTAAAAAACTTAATGAGAATCATGACTGTACCTTGTAAAGAAGTGTGAAGAGCACGATGTGCAGGGTTTTACAGTGCAAAAGCTTTATGAGACCTTTGTAACTTGGGTGTAGTGGTGTTCTCTTCTTGTACGGAGGCCATGGGTTTCCAGGGAATTTACCACTTTGCTTTAAACTGTTGAAACAAATGTTAAATGTTGAAAATGTTTCTATACGTGCAATATTGCAAATCTACACTGCAATAATTTAGACAACTGCCATTACTACAGATAAATATCCTGCATTCTTATTGTTCAGACTGACATTATAATGATAAGCATTTCTAAGCCATTTAATATATTTAAGCAGCATTCCAAAAAGATCAAACTGACTCTAGTGTTATTTTTCTGTGCATTACCACTGATGTAAATGACCTTTATTTATAAAGTTAAATGATTTTTTAGCTACAGCTAGGAATTTAGGCATTCCATTTTCATTCTAAGAGGCACACAGAGGAGAGAGAAAACTTGACTGCACCCAAAACCACATTGGTCATCTAACAAAGAAAACTCACACGTGGAGGAATGGGTTATAGGCTATACCAGGAAACGCTACCCATAATTAGCTACAATTGACAGTATCAGTGCTATCTATCTGTGAATTTAAAAATTAAATTTTAAGTTCAATATGGACCGATACTTCTAATAAGTGGAATCCAGTGCAATAGACAAAGCAATTATTTAGCAGAATACTACCTCACTCACCACAGGGGCAGAGGATTATTTCATTACATTTATTATAAGGGATTTTTAATCTTGATTTTTACTCCCAAGGTGTGAAATAAAAGACAAATCAGCTGAAATACGAATCTGTAAGAGTACACAGCTGTAAGGGACAGAATGTTAAGGAACAGAATTAAGACCATATCATCTTGCTTGTTAGAACTGAAAGAGTTTCACCAGTGTTTTTTCCTGTACATCAGAATTTAATTCACCTATGGTTTCCATCATGAGTGAATACACAGGAAAAAAAACAGACTGTCTTCAATATAATGTCAAAACACAGGACACTGTAATATTGCACTTCATGTACCTAAGTGCAAAATAAATAAAAACAGATAATGCTGCTTTAAACAATTTGTAACTGATTTTTAAACACTACCTTTGGTTAAGTATTTTAGCTGTGACAACATTCACTACTTTCTCTGTGGCACTTCAGATATATTTCTAAATATTTATGGAAGACTAACAGACTAAAATAACCAAAACCCTGATACTGCCTGGAAATTTGTAGACTATTTACTCCAGGACAAATCTGGGGGGCCTGAAAACATTGACAAAATGATTAGCATTACCAGACAGTGAAAACAAAAAACGTGTTGTGCAATGAGCAACAATATGGTGTTACATTTCTAAAAATGATCCAACTTACAATGCTGTATATCTGTCCATTGCAGACTGCACATCTCTACGGTAAACTGTTCGAAGTATTACCATGACAGGGTCAAACTCCTTATCCCAAACTTCAGCTGTTATTTAAAAGAAATTATGTGTTAACATTCTTTTTAAAGACCTTACATCTTATTCTAAGAGTCTCTTCTTAACTAGCTTTAATTATGTGATTTTCTATTATATAATTATTTCAGCAAACGACAGCAATTTTTAATAACTCTAGTAATACTTATTATATTAATAATTACCACTGTCAAGAAAGAAAAATATTTCTTGTGAAATTTTGATTTGTTTCAAAACAAAAAAAAAAAAACCCTATTAAGGCAATAGTTCTTTTCTATTAACAAATTCCCCAAACAACTCTCAAAACACTTTTCCTGTGCACATTTTGTTCTGCTCTTTTTCATTTCCAAGTATATGTAAGAAAAGGTTTAAATTATTTTTCATTTGGTACATGATAAGCACAAGCCCTCTTGAAAATCAGAAGTACAGACTGCAGAGCAGTTAGCAGGTAGATGATATTTTACCACTAAGCATAGTGAACCAAGTGACCTCAAAAACAATCTTTTGTTCAGTCTTGAAAATGGTTAAGTTTCATATAAAATGATATCTGTGACCAATCCTTTACAAATATGCCTTTGTTTTTAAACTAATACCTATGCATTATTTTGGCATTAAAATCTAGGTTACATCTGTTTAATTTAGTAGCTTGAAAGTAACATCAGGAGTGGTTTTTCAGAGCAATCACAGAAAAGTGATCAGGGCCAACACAGAACAGTCTATAAAGAGATCCCATTTAACTGCCTTTTTTTTCTATTTACAAGTTATTAAAAAACAAAACTAGGTTTCCAACCTAGAGTCAAAAAAAGATGTTCATTCTATTAATTGTTTTGAAGTGTTTAGCTCTCATAACACAGCAATGTGAAGGCAAGATTCAATGACCCCAAAAGGAGGAAGAAACCCAGTGGACACAGAATTTTAGCTCCACCAGCAGGAATAACACAACACAAGTGCTTACAACAGTCTTCCAACTTTTCACAGGCAAAAATAATCAGCTTTGCCACACTTCTGAGATTAATTTTCCCCAGGCAGGAAGTCAAGTGGCCTATACTCCTGTATAATGGTCTATACTCTATATATTAACCCCTGCTAAGATTACAGCTCTAGAGATATCCTCATACACTGCTGAGAGAGAACACTCAGCACAGTTTCCATTATATATGAAATATGATCAAATTTAGCTTGAGAAACATCCATTCTTTCTGGACAGAGTTAACTACTGCAGTCTGAAATACAGACTAAGTTTGTGTGGGCTGCTAATGCACAAAGAGAAGGACTCAGTGGGGGAGCCATATAGGGAATATTGGAAATGCACACACAGCTCATCGTCAGCACACAAATCTACAGAGAATCGGAAGAACGTGTTTTTGGAATTTGGTTTGTTCTGGTTGGTTGGTTGTTTTGGGTTGTTTTACTGATAGTTAATGGATGCAAAATCTAGGGATCTGTGAATATAAAGTAGATTTCACCCCCCCAAATTTAGGGAAACAAGGGATTAGAGGATTAGAGGGAATGGATCTCAACATGACTTGCTTTAACTGTGACAGGCCACAAACTATGATTCTTAGAAGCCAAGGTTTTGAGAACCTATGTAGTCTTATGGAGCGTATGAGCACTTAAGAGGGAATAGCAAAGAAAACCATGCCAGCTTTTATTCCTGCAGAAGCTTTTTTGATTTTTTTTATTACCCTAAGAAGAAGCTATTCTGTATAGTGCTACAAATTACTTCAGTATTTACCGCTATAAATGAGATACTTAACACAGTTTTCCTCTAGAATAAATTGTTTATCTGAAGTTAAAAAAAATCCAAACACAAAACAACACCCAAATACTGTAATCTAGCATTAGATTCCCTAAATATAAAGTTTTATAATTAAAAATACCATAATCCATTTCTTTCCTTCAAACTCTGTTATGAAAAATACCAGCATTTCACAAGCTCCAGAAATGGGATATGACATAAAGAAATGCAGTTTACATAACATTAAAACAAAGTTATTTTAAATACATAGGTGTTAAGCTGCCTAATTACACATCAAGGAACCTGAATGAATCAATTCTCAAAACTCTGGTTTCTCAAAATTACTTCACCAGTTGTTAACTTGTATAAAAGACCTTTACTGACTAGTCTCACAGTATAAAAGCTGGCAAACAAGTTAGTACAGTACTACTTCCTACATCAACTCCTTTGCCCGCCCCCCACCTCGCCCTGCCAAAAAAAAAAAATACACAAAAGATTACAAACCAAATGCTTTCAAAATTGTGAAACCTCAACCTTTCCAGTTTTCAAGGGAAGTACGCAGGGGAGGAAGGAGTTAAACCCTTTTCAGCTTTGCCATTAGCTGAAGCACAACCAGAGCACATGGAGCATTTCAGATCCCTACAGGCTTATCTGCTCAGTGACAGGAAACAGTAATGGAACACTAAGTTCTTAAATTCTTTCACTCCTTTCACACCAATGCTGTATTGAGTCCAGTTTCGATGACAAGCTGGTCAGGGGAAGACACTTGCCACTTGTGCACTGTATGCATTGTAGAATTATAGAACAGTATTCTATAACCAGCTTAGCCTGAACTTTGTTCTAGACCCTCACTACTGACTGTGGAAAACGTCACAGGATACTAATATTGTTAAGCAAAATAAAATAAAGCATCATGGTATCTTTAATAATCAAAATGTGAAGAAATTCAAAGTATCTTTGCAACTGACATCTCAGTGGTGCTAACAGTTCTAAACTATTGAAGATCAGATTTTTTTTTAATCATATAAATAATTAAGTATGTAGATCAGTAAAACAAAATAATTCTTCAGTTCTCCATTTTCCCTTGTTTTCTGAGGATACCTGAGTAATGCGAAAGTTCATTTTCAGCCTAGATCAAAATGAATTTATTAAAGACTATTGATAGTCTTTAGCAATGCTCTTAAATTTAAGCAGTAGACAATAATGAAAAAGTCAAATAAGTTTTGTGGGGTTTTAGTGGTGGCAGTGGGTTTGGGTTTTTTGTGGGGAGGATGAGGTGGGGTTTTTAACATCGTTTGGTAGGTTGGGTTTGGGTTATTTTTAAGGAAAAAAACCCACAACAACAAAGCCAAACAAACACTGATTAGGCATCTTACCCCTGAGTATGTTGCAAGGGAACACAGATTGCCATACCTTTAGGTGTATACATTCCTTGTTGCATGGAACCTCCAGGTTCAAAAACAGGAGCTTTAAAGTCAGCAACAGCTGACAGGACTGATTCAAAGCTTAAACTTCCTGGAATAATACCACTTTTGGGATTGGGGTTTTCTGGAATGTAATGTCTGTGTTAAGGAAAGCAAAATTAACTTAATTGCAGGTCACAGCCATTTTACTCCTCTCTTGACATTTTCAGTCACTCATTTCACACCACGTTTCGGCAGTGCTCTGTGCTTACCACAAGAGGTCTGTATCCTCCAGCTGCTAGGAACCGTAACTATGACTGAAGAGAAGCAAAGCCTCCTAGCTAGGACAGTAAACTTTTTAAAGCAAGACAATTAATACGTGCTTGGCTCAAGACATTAGGTACTTAATGTGAAATAAAACCCACTATCTTTAGTGTATATAAGTTTTTGCACTTGCCTTTATTTACAAACATTTTGTCTCTCTTCATAGGAAGAATATTTTACCTTTACAGCTAAGGGCAGAAAAAGCAAGTAAATAGCTTGGGATCCATGAACACTATAAGTAATTCTGCATCTTGGATTGGATAGTTCTCATTTTTGGTAGCAATACTTAACTGACCTACAGACATTACTTCAAAACACGAGTAGCACCTACAAATAAGTAAACTTCTGCTTAGTGAAAAGGGATTGCTTGTATAATGATTCACTTATTTTACACAGTTAAGTGATTCACTTAAGTGAACCATTCTAAGTGAACCATTCTAAGTGATCGCTTATTTTACACATCTAAATCTTTGAGTTACTAAGTCATATCATAACAATTAATAATTCTTACTACAGATTTGTAACTCTCAATCTCCTCCTTTCCTGTCTTTATATTCCTACTATTTTTGCTCAATGCCTACCCCTGGATTGCAAGCTCTTTTATGCAATCATGACAAGCTATTTAATTTGCCTACAGAACCTAAGACACTAATGGCAGTAAAACCTGCACATCTGTAATGAGTTGTCTGGGAACATGAACTGTATCCCTGTGCAGGAAGAGCTCCTGGAGTTTGCTACTCTTTCCCCCAGAACACAAGCACTTCACTCCAATGTCAAAGCAACATGCATGTCAAAGCAACATGCAGGATTGCTACTATTTGCATTTTTGGCTACTGATAACAAAAGCAAATATAGTGTAGACTGGCTGCTTTTTATACTGGCATAAAAATAGCAATATTGAAAGGCTCAAACCCAGATAAAGGTGACGTTTGGCTAAACTTTCTACAAGGTCGTTGGAAAACAGACTTCGTATCTCACAGCTAAAAGACTTCTGCAGTGTTAAAAAACATAATAAAAACAGCATTACAGCATTTTGTATTTTAAACTATTAAAAAGTATAGCCTATTTTGTAAAGAAAAAACAATGGAGCAAATGCCTTTGCCAACAAGTATGTGCAAACACACCTTTACACAATTTGTTTTAATTACGTAAGCTAAAAACATGCTGTTCAAGCTCCAAAATCCTATTACTATTCCGGCACCTGTCATTCTCATTCATGCACATTAGTTAATGTATTCCAAGGATATGAGATCCAATAATGAACTGTGTGTCCTGTCATTCATACAGAGTTGGGCTACCATCTCCGCCCTGAGGATCTCATCATCTGTCATTCCTAGAACAATAAAATTTAAAAAGCCATTAAAATAGCATGATTTTAAAAAACACATTCAGTTTTCATTTGACACTAAAAGCATGTCAAACTTGATACAAACTAATATTAAGTAATCATACAGTGCAATAAAAATACAGGATAAAAAGGAGGGAGTGCAAATGTTATGAAAGACAATCTCAGTCAGAAAAGACAGGTACAAATTAAAACTGCTGTCTTTCTGGAAAAGACAGAGAATCTTCATGTGATCACCTATACAAATCACCCACTTCCATTACAGCTGTTTCTCTCCATTATATTATATCTATTTCTAATCCATAAGGGATTAAAATTAAATAACTGGCAAAGAAGAAACCAAGTGTTGAATGCTCTCAGTTACTATATGGTTGATCAGCTTTAAGGCAGCTACTAAGTGTTGCATATAAATGAACATGTTTTAGTGTTATTTACATACAAGTATTCCTAAAGCAGTGATTCTTACCTAAATGTAAACGAAGACTTAACAGAAGGACCAAAAATGTTAAGGCTCCTTCCAGCATGGACCTTTCATGCTCTGAGTCAAGAACTGTATTTTGATGCTGTGATGCCATCGTTAATAGATCTACCACCTTAAATCTAAAGAGCAAATAGCAAAGTCAGAAACATCATTCTCCAACATTAAAACATGAATGTGAAATGTAATATAAACTCAGGATAGCATTCACAACAACCTAAATGAATACAAAGTGAAAAAAATGCAAACAAACCACATTAAAATCTTCTTTTTAAATTTAGATTTTTATTTATCTATGGAATGTGCTATAATGATATTTACTCCTTATGAAAACATCTTACATTTATGAAGATATAAAAGGTAATGAAAATTAATGTTTTCAAACTCTGATTTATTTTTTTTTCCCCCCGAAAAGCAGACATCTTTTCTGTGTCTCTTACTATTGCAGCTCTATTTATCTACTTCTTCAGGTTGGAATATCCTAGCATATGAACATATGTAAAACTTAAAAAACCCTAAAGATGCTCAGAAAAAAAAGTCTGAAGCTTCATTACCGCACTGTAAATCAAAAGCCAATCCTGTTTAAAATGAAGAGATACTTCTTTCAGCAAAGCCCTTAGATAAGTGTTCATTTTGGCTAGGCAGAATTGTACCACTGAAGATGCCCTTTTTCTATCACATTGTATAAATTAGTCAACAGCTAGCACAACACTGAACAAGACCATTCTCCTTTTAACCTTACCTTTCGAAAACAGATGAAATAAAATAATCTGGGTCCAGTCTAGAGGCACAGACCTGTAGAATGAGAATAAATTAATTTTATTCAATTAATTTAATTCAATATTTGTTGGTAAACAGTATTAGCTTGGCTTCTCAGAAAACATAACTTACTTGCAGCAAGTAAATATCAGGATCAATCATGGAATTGCAGAAATGGGACTGCACGTAAGTCATGGCCTGTCCTTTAATTTGGAGACCATTCCTAACCCACATGTTGCTGTGAATTTCAGAAAGACTTGCCTGTTCAGGGAAAATAAAATAAAAAATTATAATTATATCAGGGATATTCAGTTATTCAATTCAGTGTTTAGCAGATCATCAAAATATGATTACAGAAACATAAAAATCATAGAAAGGTTTGAGTCAGAAGGAATGTTGGAGATCATTTAGTTCCAACCCCACTGCCATGGGCAGGAACACCTTCCACTAGGACCAAGTTGCTCAAAGCCCCATCCAACCTGACCCTGAACACTTCCCAGGAATGGGGCAGCCACATCTTCTATGGGCAACCTGTTCTAGTGCCTCACCACCTCACAGTAAAGAATGTCTTTGTGATACCTAATCTAAACTACTCTCCTTCAGTTTAAAGCCATTGGCCCTTGTCCTGTCACTACATGTCCTTGTGAAAAGTCTCTCTGCAGCTTCCTTGTAGAATCATAGAATAGTTTGGGTTGGAAGTGACCTTTAAAGGTCATCTATTCGAACCCCCCTGCAATGATCAGGGACATCTGACAGATATTACACTTTAATATGAGAGCACATTTCAGACAACAAAAGTAATCAAAGCCAAATGGTGATTTATACATGAGAAGTACTCAAAAAATGAAGATATTGTGGTTATAAAGAGGTTAGATCTAAAAGCGGTGATTAAAAATACTGCTCACTGCCACTTATATACAAATAAATCCAAATTTGTAAATAAAAATAAATTGCAGGGTGCATCCATTCTTGAACTCAGTCTGAGTTTAAAATCAGAAATTTTCAGATTCGTGTTTCTTTTCAACTTGCACTGCATTCTATTCATAACATAACAGTTCTATGTTTTCAAAGGGTTGGTTCTTCCTACCCTTTTGGAAGTGCTATAGTGAATATTATTATATACCTCTCAGAGTATGATAACTAATGCCACATATATAATTTTGGAGATAAGAAGAAGAAAAAAGAAGTTTATCTTACACTCAATATTTTCTAGTTATTGTTGTCACATATAGTTATTTTGACATTCCACAATTAAGACATGCTTCCCTTTGCTAAATACTTCTGAATATACTTAAATGACTACGGTTAAAAGAATCTGACAGCAACTCTTTTTTCTGTGTGTATTCTGTCCATACCTGAATCTGAAGCGGGTGAATCATTAGTTTCATCAGCATCTCCTGATCTGGCAAGATAGTATCCAGATCTAGTTCTTGGCATTTGACAGCCTAGAAACAAAAGCAAGCACACACTGTACTGAATTATCACATTCGACAGGGAACTTCCATCTGTGTGACTACAACATGTGCTTACCTTACTTAAAAACATGGCAAAGTAACGGTGCAACGGCAAATGGAAAGTAACTTGGTTAGGAGCTGGCTGAAAAGTAAAATAAAGGTATTTTAGTATAATATATTGAAAAAACCAAACTTACAAATGTCTTTGCCACAACCACCAAGGACAGTATCTTGGCATGTCTTCATTTGATGGACTTTCCACTATTACTTCATTCCCCTGCCTTTCTGACTATTCAAGTTCTCCTTAGACAGCTGTAGTTTCTCTCTAAGTCCCTAGTAGCCAATGGCACTCTGAGGTGTTTGAGAGTATTGCCTGATAACTGCAAAGCTGCTCCCACTACCACAGCACAACAGGACTTCTCTTTTGCCATTGCTTCAGCTCTTCATTCAGCACAACAGTAGTGTATTAATAGCAGTGCTTTTAAAACTCACACAGCTTAAGATTGCACCAGCAAATCTAAGTCACCAAGACTCTACAAATAAATAATCCTAGGATATAACATTGCAACTATTAAGTACAAACTCTAATTTCAGCAAGGCAATCCTTTCTTGATCACTACTTTGAGCAATGACTTAATTTAAGGGGAGAGTAGGGGGCAAGAAGTGTATTACCTTTGAAATTTAATCAGATTTTCACAGTGTTTTGCTTAAATTCCCTAAGGATATTTACCTCATCTACAAAGTTGATAGCATCAAACCAGTCCTGAAGCGCTTCGAGGCAGTATCTGACAACATTCCGTGTGTATTCCTGTGTTTCCTGCAGTTAAGAGAAACCAACACACTACATGAGCCAAAACAGCTTTAAGTAAGTATCATTGTTTCCCTACTACAAATACATCTGATTATTTCAAGAATATTTTTACAGAAACATTAAGGTTGGGAAAGACCTCCAAGACTATTGAGTCCAACCCAAAATGCTACAATACCACAATACTGCATAGATTTTAACAGTAAGCAAACCTTGTTATGACTGTATGATGTAACTCTATAACAATGCCATAAAACTACATTATATTTCAGGTTAAATCATGTATTTCAAGACTAGAGCTGTACATTGCCTTCCAAGAGAGAAGGAGCAATGTGCAAAAAGGGAAGGCAGAAAGGGAGCTAAACCAAATTGCTCTGTGATCAGCAGAACTTGCAAAGTTTCATTTCTTAACAGATTTTTCCTTTAATCTTCCTTCCCCCTAAACAGACTCCAGACTTGCCTCACACTCTCAGGGCATCTATGACACGCTTCTTATGCAAAAACCAGCAGTGCTTAGGCCAGCCAGAAGCTGTGCAAATGCCGACTGGCTCAGTCAGACACCTTTTCTCAGCAGGAAATACAGCAGCCATGCTCCCATCCTGTTGCTCCACCCTCTGTAGGGGGGCCAGGCTCTGCAGGTTTTCCCTATCCTGTGAGATATGAGCTGTAATCTCTTCCCATCCATCAGGTTTCACTAAATATGTACAACAATTAAGCTATGAAATTTCTAGAACATTTTCAGATTTTTTAAGAACAACCAAAAGATTCAAATGTGGCTGAGGACATGACTGACAAGACAACAGGTGGAGCAAGGAATCTTACAGGTCTTAAAAAAAAGGCAGACTATCCCATCCCAAAGCAAAAAAGAAAGGAATACTGCAAAAAGCCAGAAACTGTAATTCAGTTTTCAAGAGCTAATGTAGACTCAAATTGATACATTCATAATGTATCAGCATAGCTTACAACACAGAAAGGCCTGGTTTTAACTTTTAAAATCACATGGTACGCTTGGGCACATTTTTTACTGCACAGTTCAATTCAAGTATTACTGTCTCATGGACACTATCAAGCATCTCAATAAGCTAATTTCAAATATAAGTATTTTTTCATAGGAAAACAGTAAAAAGTGGGGTTTATATGTTAATTATCCCTAAAAGCTAATGGATTCAATTTTTGCTATTACTTACAGTCTAGCAAATAGTAACAAGTTTTTGCTCTAGTTTGGAGACAATAAGATGTCAAAACCTAAGAGGCTTTCACCTCAGACTGACTAAAACTACACAAACCCATAAATTGCTCCATCCCTCATTATAATGAAGTGTGTGTCTGCGGACACAATCAACATTATAATCACATTAGGACAACTTGTGTATCTCCTTTCCCACTGAAAGGCAGAATGACTCAGAGATATGTTATCAAGTTCTTCATCAGATCAAAGTTATTCCATATGTACAGTCACATGGAATGACTTGTACACATCCTGAACTTGTAGTCCCAGTACTGGAGACAATAAATTAGGTTCAAGCATGAATAAGACACAGAATCCAAGCTCAATGAAGTTTTATGTTATTTGATAGACAAAGACAGCATAATCCAAGTCTTCTCAAACACAAAACAGATAGACCTTTCAAGTTTGAGAATTCTAGAATAAGTCATGAATAAACCCAAGAATTATGACAAAGAAACATTAGCCTTACCCTAACTTTGCAGTGTGACAGAAGACCCCACATTGGCTGGGCACAGGCTTCCAGCTCAGCAGCAAAGGCAGCATAGTATGTCTGCGATTCAAACTCCACGTGCTCATTTAATTCTCGTTTATTTAAATTCATACCTTCAAAGATTTAAGCAGAGTTATACAACCCAATATTTAACTAGAGCTAAATAGAATGCAGTATTTTTAGTGTTATGCATTTACACACCAATAAAGATAAAAAAACCTCCACAAAGTGTAAGAATCTGTTTTATCTAGCAGCAGAATAATTGATAAAATATGAGAACAAGCAATAAAGTTTGTACAGAAATAAACCAGAAAAGAACATTAGCTCTAGACCAGCTAATAACCGCAGTCCTTGCTGTTCAGGTGACATTAACTTCGGCTTTGAATGTCACTTAGTCAATGAGAACATTTGGATGCTGGTCCTCAGAACATTTATCAGTATTGAGAAGCTCACCATTTTGAACTATTTCTTTTAAATAATAAAAAACATTCTCCATTGCAACACTTCAAAAAAATCCTGATTTGTCAAATTAATTTCCCCAATACTTAAATTCAGAACTTCACCAGCAAAATACTTCTAGTACAAGTTATGATGTGTACTTCAAGTACAACCTCAGAATTCTTGCACCAATCTGAGTCAACTAAGTGTGATGCAATTGTTTTGTGTGTAGTTGAAGAGCAAAGATCCATCAGATAATTTTTTTAATCTACCTGTTTTCTAGAATATACTGTTCTCTTCTAGAAATACAAACTTATGAGAATACTAATAAATTAAATATTTACATACAGCATTGTAAGGATTTTGCTACTGTGAACATTAAGCTGTCTTAACATCCTCGTATTAGTACTGATTATAAGTGTCACATACCTTGAAAAAATGATACGAAATTCATCCATGTTACCAAAAGACCATGATCTTCCAAAAATTTCTTTGCCACACTTTGGTGTGAAAGTATGTTTATAAAATCACTAACCAGGGGCCAGTAGGTATTATTCTTCAGTAGTGCTTCCCCACAATTCACCACAACATGTAAACTATTTTCTTCATCTAGGTAAAAAAAAAAAAGAGAAGAAAAAGTTATTTTGTTCCTTCTTGTTGTTATTTATAAATAAAGTTATAAAATAATGCAAACCCAACAATTAGTATGTACTGTAATGCTATGGTCAGACACACACAAAGAAAATTGCAGAAAAGAAGAACAGTTCTTTTGTCTCATTCAGATATTAAACAACCTTTTGTTTACAGTAGCTGCACAAAGAGAAGTCTTCTCAATTTATCTCACCAGCACAGACTTTTAAAAGACTTCTCACTATTTCCAGCATCCTAAGTGATAATTTGAAATAAACACAAGATTCAAGCCCACAGAAATGCAAAAGAAGGCCACTGAGAATATGAGAGGGAAAAAACCCAATGAAGTATTTTATGATTTTTTTCTGTCAATGCCCAAGCCCTCATACATGAAGCAGTGAGCAGGAAATGTGGAAATACTGAAAAGCACCAGACACATCCCAGCGGTAGCCTTGGCAGTATTAGGTTTACTGTTGGACTCAATGACCAACCTAAAAGATTCTATAATGCTATGATAGCATCTTAGCTAAGAGAAATCACTGGTGCTAGGAAAAGGAAACAATGGGGTAGCTGCTCCAAAGCTAAGTCTTTCCTCACACATCTATCACAAATACATTTGATGTTATTTAACTTACCAGCTTCAGTTTACATCATTAATTACCAGGAAGCTTCTTCAGAGAATGCCTAATCACAGCCACAGCCTTTTTGGCTGCAATTCCATCACAGAACATAACCACCACCAACATCCCATACTGACCAACAAGTAACGATGAGAAGATGCTCAGAAGTAATTTTTAAATTACATTCCACCAATATGGCACTGATTTAGCAAAAATCACTTGATATACAAACTGTTAAATATTCAACATTTTTAATACTGTAAAGCAATCTATGTAGGGCAACAGGAAAACTCATGTTGAAGTGCTGCTGCATGAGGGCACATGAGAGCTAGACGACTGAGGATTTCCCATTTCAGTACAGTCACTCTTTTAGGCTACACACAGAGCAGACTGAGAAAAAGGATACTTCAGGCAACAAAAAATACAATTTCACACAGAAGTTGATAATGCTTATTTAGCAACAGCACTCAGCCTGTCTACAGAATATTTTCACACTCAAACTAGGATAAAGAGGGCTGAGAGGCCTGCAGTCTGTTAGGCACATCAAAGCACGACAAGTTAGCAAGATTCATTGTGACACCATTTTCAGACAAGGACAGGTAAAACAAGGAGGGTGGAAATACGACAGTTGCTTTCACTAAAAAAGTTACACAATGTACACTAGTTCAAATTCAAATTGCCACTCTGTCAGACAAAAGCTTGATCAAATTACTGTATTTACAAAGTAGTAAATTATTCTCCTTTAATTATATATCAAGTTTTATTAAGGCAATCACAGGAGAGAAAAATTAAAACAATTTCGAATACTCCAAATAGTTTGTGAAATACTTTGAAAATATTTTTTAAATTCATAAAGGTCTCAATTTGCATATATAATTTCTCATTCAAATAGTTGTTTATGCACTTTACCCAATAAATTAAGCACCTGCAAGGTAATACTCTTTATTCTAAACTATATAACATTCCTACAAAAACAAAAAATCCAAAACAACCCTACAAACCAAAGGATAAAACATCAGTATCACTCTTGATAACTACCTTTATATTTCTAGGAAATTCGGATACTCACCCTCTACCACACATTGCTAGATCCTGTACATTTTTAGAAAAAGGGTTGGAGGGTGGTGGACGACTACCCAAGAAAAATTAAGTTTCCTCTATAATCAATTTATTATCCATGGAATGAAGCAAACAAACATATCAACCTACCTTGCAATTCACTTTTAATAAGGCAACTTTCCATCATGTACAACAGAACAGTAACCATAATATCCAGCAGCTGGCATTCTTCTGTTACTTGGCGTGCTAGTTCTTCATTGCTGAACAACTGAACACTGATATGCACAATTCTATTAGACATTGTGTCTGATTCATGGCTTTTCTTCAGTGTTTTCATAATAAAAGCATAATGCTGAACAAAAGTTTTTGTAAAAGCAATCTGCAAATTATAAAGAAATTTTGATGTTAACAAGTATTATATAAAAATTATAGCTTTGTTTCATTATGAAATATTCCTTTACAAAAGTACAATCAACATTTCCTGGGAAACACCAGTTGCTATGACAAACCAAAACTGATGGTGTAAGTGTTCCATGTATAGTTTTTAGAAACGGTCCACATGAAAAGACCTATTTACAGAGAGGGGTAACTCAAGCCTCTAATTTTATTACCTTTTCCCAAAATCTAATCTTCTCATTCTATACTTCTCACACTAAAAAAAACCCGCCAGAAATGTTCAAACAATGAATAGAAGGTCTCAGCATAACACCTGAAAGTAGTAATAGTTCTAATAATTAATTTACCCAAAATTTTTACATCCTACAACAGGAACAAATGTTCTAAAATGATACACTGTGAACAATGAGTTTAGTAGTGCCTAATAAAGCTGCCTTGACTTATCACTTGCGCTCATCTACCTATGGAGTAAGGTTTTCATTCACCTGTCAAGGGAGGTATTTCAACACTGAATTTCATTTCTGCTATCATAACATCCTATACTTTTTAATAAACTTTCAATGCTTTCCCCTCAATAATTAAAGTAATTAGCAAGTTTTGTTATTCTTCACACAACTGCTCGGGTTTTTTTAAACGAGATCATATTTAAATGTATCAATGCATATACATACAATATGTATTGTACGCATATAGTACAGTTTTGTGTCCTCCATTAGCCTCAGATTGCATTGTAAACCAACCTTTTGCAGGGCATGTACATGTGGGCATATCTGCCAGCTTTGAAATCAGTTCTCACTTAGTACTTTAGGTTCTGAATTAACACCATCTGGACTTGCCTGGCTTAGTTAAGAAGACAAGATGGGTAGTGATAAAAATTTTCAGATCAAAGTCTAAAAACCCCTTGTCTATTCCTTCTTCATTATTAACCTTTCATAAGCATAGAATTAGAAATTTTAAAACCACACTTGGGCAACTGTGTTTTCATCAGACCATACACAAATCACTACTTTATTTGACCTGCCTTAAACTCAGTGCTTCCATATTTTTATTATTAAAATACTACCATGTTTTTCACATTTAGAAAATACTTCCAAAAATATGATGGCATAATGCTGCTGTTGGGTCCAGAAACTGTTTCTTCCAGCAAATATCCTCAAAAAAAATGGACCCAGGGTGGGGATGGGGATGTCACTAGAGGAAACACTGCAAGACTAAACTTAAACTGCCTTCCTTTATCTGGTCCACAGTGATGGAAACATGTATAATAACTGAAAGCGTGTTCTACATACAGCCCGCAGCACAATGGTAACTGTTTTCAGTTAAAGACTTTTTGGAACAAGGTATTTGCAATGCTTCAGCAAAGTTAATACACATCATTCTGGTAGTCCAGATATTCCTGTCATATAATTTCCTTTAAATTAAAGCTTTAAACAATTTTAATCACTGGCAGCAACACTTATCATCAAGACATTCACGCTATTGATGTTAAGCCTCAGACACAAATGATGCACCGGATATTTTAAGAAGCTGGTATATTAATGCTGCTAGTAAAAAAAGTATACTTTTCTACATATTATTTTTTCACACTGTATTATGTTTAGAAAGGATTTTTGGATTCTGAGATGTAGGAACTATGTATTACTTGTTTTACACAGCACTCTCAATTTAAGTTGCTGCAAAAACACTGTCTTTCTCTACGGACAAATTTTGGATTTTTTATTTCTTTATTTTAAATCAGCATGCATCAAAATTTTTTGTGCCTCGCTCGTATACAATAATGAACCTCTGAAAGTAATGTAAATTTGCTCTCAATACAGAATAATGGTAGAGACTCTGTAATACACCTAAGTAAAGGAAAGACAGAAGCTTTTCTCCTACATTCACCTGGAAGTAAAATAAAAAAATACAACCCTTTCCAATTTTGAGAGGAAGAAACTAAACTCAATTCCATAAGTTAAAAAGCTGAAATACTGTGGTAAACTGCAGTCCATATGTAAGAACAGCCATAGTAATCAGTCCATCCACCTCAGAATCCTTTCTTTCAGTGGCCAAAGCTATATACACAACTAAGGGAGAATATAGATCAGAGCAAAAACGGAGATTTTGATGTAACACATCCTTCCAAATAGCTTCCAATCTTTTGCAGGAAGTGGCTTCCTAAGACAAACATAGTTTCTGTATATTTAATTACCTTCACTGACTTACTCTATGATCTGTGCAGCTTCTAAATGTCTAGCCTATCGAAAAACAAAGTTAATTTTTTCAACTGGCCTTTCCTCTTGGTTGCCACTCAACAATCCCAGAACTTTTAGGTGACTTACATCAGCCCCATGTTTCAGTTAGAACTTATATCTCCCATGTTTATATTCTCAACCCTAAGAAGAAGATACTTCTGCCAGCTGAACATTTAAGGTTCCAACAGAAAAACTGTTCTACGGAATTTGCAGAACAGCATATCCAGGGGTTATTGCTCTAATAGCTGCCTCAATGGTCTCTACGGGAGGTGCCCAACAAGGCACAGCATTTTTGGTAATTACGACTGTTGATTCATTATCTCTACCAGATGCTTTTGCATTTTTCTACTTCCAGTATTCCAGATTTCAGCAAGGCTCTGCCCTTGGATGATTTAAACTCTTCCATCAGCTTCCTGTTTACTGTCAACACATTCTTTGCCTTCTCCTCGGTCACATGACGGGCTATTTCTCTGGCCTTTTGCTTTTCCTCTTGTCCACACCATAACACCTTTAATCTCCTGGAAGCTTTGGTAAATTTCTCTTCTGCTTTCTTTTTCTTCACTTCTAAGTCTTCCAAGCTTCAAAAGTCAGAGAGTGCTGGAAGGGATGCCTCAAGTACAAATCTGTAAGGCAAAGATCACACTTTTTGTTGTGCTGTCTCTCTCATATGCCCAAGTGGGAAGAGAGGGAATAGCTACTTAACCCAGGGTTTTAGCCCACCCCTTTCAACACCTCTTTTCGATATTGGGAATCCTAAAAGGGAAGTTTGTTTTCCTATTTCAAAATAAATCTGTGCAACTGAGATCGCTGGTGGCTCAGTGACTGCTGCCCAGGGCAATGGTGGATCAGTCAGCTCTACTATGTTCATGCTGGAGGTCAGAGATTTCAACAATTTCAAAGCATGCACAGATAGCCAGCTCTGTGCTCTGTGTCTGGCTAGCTCCCTCAGTTTATCAGAAAACCAACCTAGCAGAATTCTGCTGATTTAATGCACTAAATCACCTCACAAAAAATCAGCTAAATTGCACAAGAGCAGACATAGAAAAAATTAGGAAAGTACATGTAGTGTAGATGAGATGAGAGAAGTAACAGAAAGCTGAGAGATCACCTGGAACAGTTTATATCCCTCCAGGTATTCCTGCTATTTGAGAATGCAATATGATTAATCAGCCCACAAGACTTTTTTTTCCAAAAAGCTAAATGGGAGCCTATAACATAAAACATTCTTCTAATTCATCCCAAAATCTATGTTCCCTCTATGTACATGTAAAAGGCAGAGACACTACTTGTAAATTAGCCCCAGTCCTCATAGACATGTTTAAAATTCATGCAGCATTGACACAGTTTTGCAACAAAGCACAGGTTATCTTGGGAAAAAACAGTGTTACTGCCTTCCTAGGATTGCTGTGTGATACATTTCCTGCTCCAAGTTCCCTTACTACTTAAAAATGCATTTGAGACAATCAGCAATTAAAATAAACACAGATCCTAAAAGACTTCAAATACTTGGGATTTGCGCTTCTAATAAAGTTTTTACACAGGAATTAGCTGTTTAATGAAATACAATACAAAACTGGTAACAAAAAAACCCCTCTAACACAAAAAAATGTTTAAAATCTTTCAATCTCAGCATGCAGTATTGGTGGGTAGAAGATGGACTACTTCCAGATAAAGGTGGTAGTCAGTAGAGATTAAATATATCATGGTCTCCATTCTGAGTGAAGACAGATGATGAATACAACAAAAAAAAAAGTCACTGAAGACTGTGGCTTGTTGTCAAAGGAAGAAAGATCCCATGACCATTAAAAGCTGTTGTTATTACATGGTATAGTAAAAAGGGAAACACAGCCAACACTTACCAGATTCTTCCATGTGCTAGCAGCTGGTTGTTTTTACGGGCAGGAATTTCGCTGGCAATGGATCAAGAGAACTGGATGTCCATGTGGGTCCCCAAATTATCAAGAAGAATGCAAGCTTCATGGTAAGGGTTCATCAGTTAAGAAGTCCTAATCTCTCCTCACATATTAGCTGAATCCAAGACCAAGACGAATCTAGGCTGGTATCCCAAATCAAAACGGTGTCTTGACATGGACACAGTATTGCTGAAAGCCCATATCCTTTTCTTCCTTGCAAGTTATCTTCATATCCTTTGTTTTGATACAGCAAGGTTTTAAGGGGACACAAATTCAGGGCTGTTCCACTATAAACACACATTTTTGAAGAAATCTGCATGCCCAGACTTCAGGATTTCTTGTTCTTTGTCTCCCAGCAGGGATTGAGAAGGTCCAAAATATTTGCATGGCTCAAGAGTATGACACGATCAGAGCAAAATGTTAAGCCTTATTGCTATGTATACTAGGTCTTGGGAACATGTGGAGCAAACAACCAAACCTGGCTGCACACCAAGATTTAAAACAGGAAGATGACATCCAGTCTCCACAACTCCAGGCCAGGAGATACTTGGTATGGACAACTGCAAAACTCTGTAAGGAAGCACCTGGAAGGCTGCCAAAGTCACCTAGGGCATAGCTGCAGCAAGAACACTCACACTGTAATGGCCTGCATGGAGAAACCACTGCCTACTACAACACTTGAAACAGGAATGAAGTCACTGCAATTATTCACCAGCCATACCACACCACAGAATCACACACTGGTGATCCACATATTTTAAGTGATTAAACCCCATTTTGCAAAGTAAAATAAAACAAAACAAAATCCAACACGTGCAAATATGCAATTAACAGCCAAAAAGGAAAATAACAAAGCATGAGATCAAAATTAACTCTGCTGCTCCAAAATTATCCATCTTATTTTGTCCACATCACTCTTCAAATACTAAGCACTTCAGACCTTCTAACAAAATTCTCAAAACAAGGTAAAAGATCTGCATTATTCTACTGCTTATTATTCAAATATAAACATACATGGTCTCATGCAAGGCATAATGCACACTGAGTATGTGAATAAGAAAACATATTTAGGTTTGAATGAAGTAAGGCAAGTACCTTATAATCTTGATCTGGTAGCATGTTGAGTAAGAAAGTCACCATCTTCTGTGGAAACTCATATTTTATTGTCCAAAATAATAATTCTTCTAGAAAACATTTATGCTTCAAAACATCCATGATAGATTGATCTGCATAAAAAGTTGGAGCAGGGTATGTATAATGTATTAAAACAATGATAGTGCAGTTTCACTCATAAAAATTCAGGAAAAAAATTTAAGAGCATCTTAGTGCATTCTGTAAATTTTATTTTCTTTTAAACACTGGGAATATGAACATTACCAACAGTTCTGACACCACAATGTCAGATAAAAAGGACCTCCCAGAGAAGCCAATGAAAGTTTTCACTACAGTTCTACCACAGAATCCAATCTTCATTGATTGTATTGAATCATATCACCTTACTGTAATAGCTGCACTGATTATAACGCATCACAGCAAACTGCACAATATTAACATGGCCACTTAATTGAGGGAAACAATGTAGACTACTGCCTAACTCAAGATAAAATAGCAAACCAACAAAATACATTTTATGATTAAGTGAGGAGTTCTATAACCTAAGAAAACTTTACAAAGCTCTAAACAAGCTAAATAGAAGCAATAATGTATCCATTGTTCTCATTTTCCAAAGCAATATATGTGCTTACTGGCCAACCACAAAGTTGTTGGTTGGGTTTCTTTATACAAAAATTACCATAATTAAATAATCAGGTACTAACCCCTTTCTCATCTTTCCCCATTCAACTCCTGGCCATTCACTCTGCCCCCTTACTCATGCTGACAGTAGATCCCTGTGGGGGACCTACGTAGGAATCAAGTCAGGGCTCTTTCCATTCTGTCAGCTGTGTTTTCAAGCAGATCAGTTTCCTGATTGCAAAGCTGCAAACTGACCTTTGCTAGAATAAACTGTTTGTGAAATCACTGTTTGACAGGGCATAAATCATATTAAATCAGTTTTTAAAAATACTAAAATATAAAGACCGATTTTTTTCAAGAGGTTGATTATTTATTATTTAAAACCACAACAAGTATTGTTCACTCCAGTAACATATGAGGACTAAAAAGAAAATAATAATAACACTCCTTTATATCTAGAAATCAACTACACCTGAAGATACATAACCCCACACAGAAAATCCCATATTCCAATGGGAGCGTATGAAGTGCCCCCACCAGCACACATCCAAAAACACTTAAGCTAAACATCATCTGGCCTTAAAGACTCACATCTTCACTGAAGCATGACAGCTTTAGAGACTGCACTTGATAGCTTTATGCCTGTTCTAAGCAGGATAGGCATTTGTGCTTTTCCTAAGCAGGAATTACCTCAATTTTCCATCATTATCAAAGGTCAGAGTTCCTCAGTCAAGTGACCAATTAGCCCAAATTTAAATGTTAGCGTTCTCCTCAAGACTCCAGCAAGCCACAAAAGGGCAAGAATATGTTTTATTTAATACATTCTACAAGCATCGACATAAAAACATTACCTTCACAGAGTCATGAAAGGTATTTTAATATTAAAATATTTTGTAAAGCATTACACATCACCTACTGCAACAAACACGTGATGATCATTTACATTCTGCTCCTCTCTCTTAAGAAATAGTGTATGTGATCTGACTGCCCAGGACAGTTTGGTAGCCATGCAGACTGATGTCCCGTGTCCACAGAACAGACAGTACAAGTTTAGGTACATGCCAAATGCTCCTGAGTGAGAACACCAGGCATGGAGACAAGTGACACAACACCTCATCTACTACTCATGTGCAGCTTTCTCTGAAACGTTGAGCAGTGCATATCACATACTTTATGTAGCAGTTTCAGGCAAGGACAGAATAATACTATCCACTTACACCTGCTGTAGAATTTAAGTAGGCAGAATGCTCTTACCCAACTTGGAAAATTTGTCAAGAACACTGGGACTAATGTTCCCACTCCTGTGAAAAGTACCACATGATTTTAAATTTCTTTAAACAAATAATAAAAAAAAAATAGTGCCTGTGGGTTTAAAATTGTCTTAAATGTCTGGTAGTTCAGATGGATGCAGGATGCAGGTTTTAAAAGAGAGTAAAATAAAAATTCTCTCAATACTCAGTCCCATATCTGTATCAGTGAATCTCAACATAAAATCTGTATTTTCTTCAAAGAAACCTTTCATTCATTCCTGGTACCACAAAAGACCTCGCAGAGTGTTGTAGATACCTCTCTGGAATATGAGACTTAGCACTTCAGGATATCTCCAGTATATAAATAACCCTCTATGGAGACAATAGACAATACACCACTGAAGACCTAGGACGGGACAGGGAGTCTGCTTATATGGAAAAGGTAAATCTGTTTTTATTCAATACTCAGTTTTCTAAAATTTTCTTTTCATACTCTTATTTTATACCCTATTGGACATAAAATATGAATACTGAAAACTTCAGAAAACTATTTGATATTTAATAAAAACAGATACTTACCCTTCCCCCATTGGCAGACTCCCTCCTCTGGGGCAGATATTAGGAGCTATCAACATCAAGAGCACAGTCCATGTTGGGATGCCTCAGAGGGGGAAGACTACAATCCTGGGGGGAAATGAAATGTTGAATTCAAGTATCACTTTTCCTGAAATGCCACTGCTGATACTGGTATCCTGATCAGGCAGCTTCTAAACCTAAACTTCCTCCCTGCCTATTTCCCATAATTATTTATTATGCACCAGAACAACAATCTTTTTTCTTGTGTTACCTGACTAACTCATCTTTCAGACAAGCTAACAGCCTCTAAAATTTAAGAGAGAGAACTTTCCTTGGATGTCTCTACATTTCCTGCATTTCTCCAAAACTACCATCTCTTCCACATTATTATTCTCTACCACAGTCTGTCACATACCATTTTTAAGATTCTCTCTTAACAACATCATTGCCAAAACATTTAGTTCTCTGCTTTTCCAGCTTCCTAATGCCTTTTTCCTTCAACCTGAAAACACTAAAAACAACCAATCTTACTTTCCCATACTCCTCACAACATCTTCACACCATTCTATTAATTCATGAACCTTTGTATTTCAAACTCAAGCTCCAAACATTTACTCCAGAGATCTTCCAGAAATTTTATTCCAACTTTCACCAGTTTTTTCACTCAAATGTTCTTTTCTCAAGACTTGCAATTCTTGTGCTTCATATGTCCATCTCCTCATACTCATATTAAAAAACAAACAAAAAAAGTCTTCTTTACCTAATAATAGTATTTCAATATTATTATTTAAACACTTTTTAGCATAAAAACACATCAAGAACAGGATAGGACTACCTTGTCTCTAGCCTATAGTCATTCTTGAATTAAAACTTGCACTGACCTCCATGTGAGTGTGACTCATCTCGGACTAGAAATTGCAGAGAGGACTAATTTCAAAATAATGAAGTTGTTCAAAGGGAGACTCTGTTCAAGTATCTTATCTTAAACATTACTAGAACAATAAAGAAAGACCAACCAGAACCAGAGACGAGCATTCTTGCCTGGCTGAGAACACAATCATACTGTACAATGGCACAATCAAAAAAAATGGTAAGAACAAATACATCAAACACTTCCTTGTAAAGCTGTGTTGCAGCCTTGACAGTCACACAGTGAAAACTGGACGAATTTTTGGAGGTCACTTTACAACACAGAGGTGACAAAATGTCAGAGTCCCAGGCAGTGGTACTCACACAAGGGAAATCAAAATTGCCAATTACCACATTTTCACTTGCTATTCTTTTTTGGACTTCGCTATGTTTAATACTTGTCACATGCAGCACTATAGTGCATGGGAAGTGAATGAGTATCCCTAGATAATTTTTAAGACAGACATAAAGAAAATATGATAAACTGAGATGAGTACTTTATAAATACCTTTGGTGGTGCTGCTTAGTTTCACCCTCTTGCGCTTTCCCACACCTTGGCTACCATCCTGGTCCTCCTGGGGTAGGGGAAGAGTTTAAAAAATTCATAATCTTATACTTAGAATCTTATTGCCAAGAGATGGTATGCTCTCAACATTCTGGTTTAACTACCAAGCTAAAACAAAGAAGCCCTGAATACACTATCTTACTAGAAAAATACTTTTACTGTTTACAGGAGCCGTGGACTGTGTGCAACTATTTGGAAAAAAAATTAAATTTTTATTTGCCTTTTCCCCCCCCCCCCACAGGCAACATTATCATCTGCAAGGTCAGACATATTCATGTCATTCATTAATTTTGTAAGGTTACTTGCTTTGATTTCTGAAACCGATTGCTACAAAAATGTTTAACACTACAAAATTTCTAACTGTTGCACATCCAAGGTTTTCCCTTGTCCACCTGTAGCGTTTGTGGTTTTTTGTTTCCTAAAAAAAAAAAAAAAAATCAGCCAACATATTGTATATCTAAGTTGACAACACAATTAACTAGACATTTTCTAATCAACGTAAATTTTTGATGCAAGAATAAAGTACTTTTGACACCTTAAGGAGGCCAATTCTAATTGCTTTCTCCCTACAGAATAATGGAAACACTTGACACAAGCACTTGTCATCTGAAGCTTCCAAGGCACTCCACAAACAAAATAGCAAAAGTTCAAAAATGTAATGCAAGTTAAAAACATCTCCACCATCACTTCACATAATCTAACACTAGGTGTTAAAAAAGCACATAACATTACAGAACTACATTAAATGCTGCATGGATCTTTACTAACAATGGTAGTCCTAATGAAACTGTGGAAGTAAAGTTCCTTTTTAAAGTAAAGAGCTAATGAGACATAATTAATACAGATATCTAAAGTTAAAAGTAAGTAATCAATATCCTTCTCCAAGGATATGGTAAATGCCATGTTTTATTTCCAAACTTCACCTAAATGACAGAGATCCCAAACCTGAAGAAGTTACTATCCTTTCTTGGGGAGAAAGATTATTCATATTTTACGTCTAAGGACTGACCAAAAGTATGGGGTGAATAAAAGGTCTGAATTTTCCTATCCTTTCATTATCTCCATCTTAAAATTCATTTTAAGATGGACACACATTTGAACACTTAGACCACAAGACTGTGGTCCTTGTGAACACAGGCTACTTTGGTACTTCAATTGGGAATGAGTCAGTCAGTTCTCTGGATGCTGCCACTGCCCACTCCCCCATCAGAGGAGCCAAGTACTCTCAAGAAAAAAAATCAGACTTGCTAGTATGTTACTATGCACTGCAGGACTCTGCAATTAAGGCTGTAAATTTTTTTTTTCCCAGCCTGAAAAACGCATCAGTGAAAAAAGTTAATTTTTTATTTTATAATCTTAATTGCGTTCTGCTTGACAAATATGAATTGCTGAAAAGAAAGTCCAGCGCTTTCATCCAAAAGTCAAAACAGACTGTGCAGGTGTAAGGCTGAAATGCTTATTAGAAAAATGATGTTACTAGAGAAATGAGGAAAAAGTGGTCTTGCTTTATGACTTCTCTTCCTCTCCTCTGTTACTCCCATGTCAGCTAAAAAGGTATTTACAGGTTTTTTTAATGCCTTATTGTACTTAGAGCAGAATAAAACTATGTTATAATTAAGAAACGTGGCAAGAGTACACTTTTAACTGGATTTTCTTCCTCTAGTATTTAAGAGGAATCTCGAAAGGTAAATAATGTTCTTACCAAGGCCTTACGGCAGCATTGTTTCCCAGATGGAACGCTAGATTAGAAAATTTACATGGACTACAAATTAGAGCAGCACTTCTGCAGGGAACTAAACACCTTGAAAAGTTTTGCATAGCTCAGTATTTAGTTTCACTTCTACAACAGTAGACAGTTCTAAGACAAAAATTAATCTGAAGGACAGCTGTTATTTCTCATGTTTTCCTTTGTGCAAAAGGAGAAAAAAGGTCCTGTCTAAATCTGTCCTCCTATTTAAGATGTTATTTTCCAAGGAATCAAATAAAATGCAGTCCATGAATGCTTTTACCACACTGAGGAATAAATGTTCTTATATTAGATATCTCTTTACATTATTTAAAGTTTGTTATGTTACCCTACCAAAATGGCTGCTAAGGCTTACTTTCTTCATTAAATTACACTTATTTATTACAGCTCAACCTAAAATGAGATTTTCTCCTTCTTACTCCCACTCCATGTGTTTGTTAAGTAAGGTCAAATCTACACTTGGGAATTAATCTACAGCAAAATTCTCACTGCTGCTATCTCCAGTTCAGCTGGATTCTCAAGTGCCAAAAACTGCTAACACCATTCACAGCATTACATGTTGTAAGTTTGCTTTAATCAAGCCCAATTTACTTGATAGTGACTTTTCAAATATCTACACAGGTTTCTTCTACATTACATACATAAATTAAACCGAAACAGTGTTAGCAAAAATAAGGATTGGTCCTTTGTAAATCAAAGGCATGAGATCTATTCCTTTATATCTCCATTTTTTCCTAATTATTAAAATGGGGATAATATATATGGCAAATAGAAGAGTTAAGGTTTGTGGGATTTGGCTGCAAGCATTCTCTCCATTTAATATTCTGTTACAGTTCATTATAGTCTTTAAAAACAGTCTCACCTCATCTGAAGAATCCCCTTGTCCTGATGCTGCTGTAGCACCTGCTAAACCTTGTGAAATAAAAAATTCAGAGATTCTTTTCATAAATCTTATACTGAAAAGACAGTATTTTACAATACTTCATGAGCGAGTATGAAATAAAAAACTACATTAATCTTTTTTTAAAAGATACATAGCAGTGAACTGAGAAGTTGGAGTAAGATTTCCAAGCAATACAAAATCAGGGATTTGCAAGTACTTTCCATTGCAGAACTTCAACATACCGTGTTAATGGAGACACGTTCTTTCAGAAATTGGAAAAAAACCCCAGCCTTCAGTGATCAAAAAAAAAAAAAAATCCACAGCACCTTTATAAGAATAGGTGGTTTAACTTAGTTGCAATGACAAAATTCCACTATGAGCAATTTCATTTTGCCTACTCAAATTCCACTAATGCTATGGCTGGAAAAATGGTGCTTAGTGTATTAGCAACAAAAAGTTAACATGTTTAGCTTTGTTGGTAGAAATGAAATGAGTCCTGTAATTTGGTAGTGCAAATAACAGGTGATTTCTTAAGTTTCATTAAGATTTGGTGTTTTTAAAAATAAACCTAAAGAAGATTTTATATTAAAACCATCAATAATCAAGTCTTCTCTTAAAATATATCTCTACACAAACCTTGAACAGCTAATGTACTAGTTCCAGCTCCTTGCTCCTGCATACCACATGCAATTTTATCCTCGGGAAATGCCAGTCCAGAGCCTTTCAAGGCAATGAGGTACTTTTCGTGACTCTTCTTTGTACATGCATTCTCTCCAACACCTTGAATACACACATAAAACAGCATTAAAGCACATCAGCAGATACTTGGTTCATATACTTCATATTCTATATGAGCAATCTAAAAAATGGCCCACAATGTTTTAATAAGCTGTACAATTATGCAACATAGAAGCTAAAAAATTTTTCCAACTGATGAAAGCCAAAAGGTGGGTAACTCTTAGTTTTTCCCCTCCAAAACACTGCTGTCTTCTAAATTATGTACTCTATTTGTATTTTACCAGCACTCCCACCATTAACAGTACAGAACAAAAAAGCATGCCTTTTGATATTTCAAAACAGTTGGTTTTCAACAGAAAGGAGAGGGACCAATGGAAAAAAAGAAAAAAACCAACAAAATAATGCAGTAATGGTAATAGAGCATGTATAATTTCTAATATTGGAAATTTTTCTTCCAAGTTCAAGTTTTGACAGCTGCAATTAATGGAGGCTATTCGTAAAGATGTTGTAATTTCAACTGTTTGATGAAGCAAAGTCACACTGCATACTCAGGAGACAAAATTTTCCACAAAGCAATGGACTAAAAAACCTAACACATTTGTTATATAAGGAAAAAACAAACTTTGAAGAAGTAAATTCTATCAAGTGTTTAAGGGAAAAAGAAGATGAAAAGACAAGAGCATCTTTGTAGCTGTGCACCTTTTGCTTTCAAAGTCAGAAGGGCAGGTTTTGCTTTAAAATCCCTTTCTTTGCTTTCCCCACCCAGAAACTGTACCTACTGAGACACACATATTCTCCATTCCAAGACTCCAGATAAGAATGCCTTACTTTCCCTTCCCTTTCCACCTTCCTATATCAGGAAATCCATCACATATAGGAAAAGAAAAGTCATTAAATTAGTCTCATTCAAATATTATTCAACAGGAGAGAATAAGAGAAAGGAAAGAATAAAGAACTACACCTGAGGCAGCTTTACTAAGTACTTCTCCTTTCACACATAGATTTGGAGATTGCCTGTTCTTCAACTTGCTGCTGCCCAAGCCAGTTATGGCAACTTAAAACTAGAGTAATTATTATTTGTTCCATAACTACGCAAAGGACTCTTAAAAGACACTTTCAAATCACAAGAAAATAACATGGAGTTAATTTATAGGTTATAAGTGGTTTGGGGTCTGCAGTGACTGCCCAACATTTTCAGATTCACTGTGATTTGGTACAGAATGGAATAAATGGTTGATGTTTAAAAAAAAAAAGAAGCTGGAAAGGGTTTTGCACAGAAGTGCAGAACAGACAATGGCCTTTTGCCATTCAGGTCTCCTTCAGTAGCCTCTGTGAGAGCAGACCCCAAAATAAGTTAGACATATTCCACTGTGAATAACCTTGATATGCCTAATTTGGAGGTACTAAGAGACCGTGTTCACTTCACTTTGAAGAGAATGGATTTCTTATAAAAACTTTTTTGTAAGGATATTTCTTTATACAGTTATTTGGGACACAGAGATCAGAGGTTTGCTCTTACAGGTCTTAATAACAAATGTTCTTAGTCTCTCCTGAAGCCCACCCTCCTATCAACAACAAAATATCCTTAAAAATATGTTTTTCTGTGTCTTGAGAAGTCAAATAAAAACATGCAGAAACTGCAGTGATAAACAAAATTTATACCCTCAATTCTTCATAGTTTGAAAATTTAATTATTAGAAATAACATAAACATACCAGAGCTAAGATCTTTGTAGAACTGTTGGCTAGTCAAAACCTGGGTAAGAACCGATCTCATTGCTCCTCCCATTTTGGTCAAGTCTTCTAGAAAGGAAACATGAGGCTCCAAAACCTGGAGGATTTTATGAAGGTCTTTCTCTGATGGCAGATCAAGAGCTGAAAACCACATAACAAGAACTTTTGGTGTAGATGTAATGTAATTTAGCCAAGACCTTCACATGCAGAACAGTTACGACCACCACAAATGGAAATAATTTATATGTCCATAATGTTCTAGAATTCACACAAGTTTTAAATTATACCTGATTTCATTTTCTGGAAGAGCTCAACACATTGATAGGTAACCCTTAACACATATTTAAGCTCTCCAGAAGACAATAAAACCCAATTGCATAACCAGGCAGTAATTTTGTTAGGAAGAGAAGTATAAAATACAATGACATAAACCATTTATGTACTGTGTCTTCACAGACAGCAAAGCAACAGATAACAGCATGGTAAAATATGCTAGATACATGCAAATTTAAAACATACCAGGCTCATTATATCCCTCTCTTAAGTGCTGAATAAGACTAAAGATGAACTGTGGAAGAACTAATTCTGACATCATCAACAAGTCTTTTGGGACACATGGAACATTTGAATTTGATTTAATCCGGTGTCTTTTACAAAACCTATAAAACAGATGAGAAAAATGTTAGCCAAGCACAGCTCAGCAGTGTTAACATACACTAAGAACACCATTACTTTTTCCATTTTTCAGAGCTTATATGTTTTTACATTAGAGGTGGTGTGGAAATGGTATTCTGAAATTCCAACTACTATGTTCAAACCCATTTTGATTCCGAGGCCAGTGAATTATAAAGGTGCCAGTTTTTTCTCCTCTTCTCAAAGTTCACATATCTAACATTCCATTTTTTTCCTATATATGTTAGAAGCATCTTCATTGAACAGTTAAAAAAACATTGAATTTCCTCTCCTTTCTGTGTAATACTTAGGGGCTGAACCAATTCTTCAATTCAGATAACGACTTTTTTTAATGTCTTTTGACATTAATAAAAACAACTTCCAAAGACATAAGACTTTGCAGGGTTGGTAACTAAGATTTGCTTATCAAAGGGTGATGGAAACACCCTGCAAAAACTGTGTAAATTGTTTCATTTATAAAGAAAATATTTACTGTCTGGAGAATTCCTGCATGGTAGTAGCTGAGGTTTGGCTAATGCACAACGACATGACATTGAGCCAAACCCCATTAGAGCAGACAGAATGATTTCCCACTGACTTAACATGAGCCTAACTCAAGAGAGACTGAATACTTCTCAGCTCCCAACCTATTTTTAGAAAAGACATTTACCAGCATCAAAGAGTTATTTACCCATGTCAAAAAAGACACTAACAAAGAATAGTGTAAAAATACATCATCCAAGACTAAACTTTACTGAAAAGATTCACTAGATTTTACCACTAATTGTTCAACACAAAAATTCAGAAATGAATACGGTTTTGTTTGAATATGAAAACTGTTTCCTAGAACTATCAATGTCTTCACTTTATTTGCAATGTCACATTTTCCATAATTTCCAGCCTGCTACTTCCTTTCTTTCTTGAGGACCACTGAAGAATCACCTTCAAGAGAAGAACGAAATAGAAGAAAGCCACAAAGCAAGGATATGAATTTAGGATGCAAGCAAATAAGACAGAAAAAAATGAGGATACAAGTTCTGCAATTAAGATGGCAATTCATAAGAATGGCTAGCAAATTCCCAACACTAAAGATTAAGAGCCTCTCCTTTGCTCTTTCACATTAGAAACTACACTTTTATTAAGAAAAGGTACAGAAGGACAGTACTAGCCAGTTGATTTGTGGTTCATATATCCTGGGGGGCAAAGGGCCTGACAGAGTTCAGTGATGACTGAAAACTTTCTGTTAATTAATGCCCAAATGGATGGTGTTCACTTTTGTCTTCCACTTTTCAAATTACATTCACAGAAGTTACAAAAAGTATTTACTTTTTCCCTTTGGTCATTCATTTTTGTCTCATCAACATCCAGAACCCTGAACTGCTATAAATTGCTAACATGGCTTGATCTATGCTGTGATATGGTACTTTGTATCTTAAAAGTTATTGGTTTCCCTTTCACCACTCTCCTTATAAGCAGAGATCAAAAGTAAATAACAACTTAAAGACATACAGGAAGGAATTACTATGCAGTGTGTTCTAAAATTTTTTACTGCCCACCATCCCCCCACATATCTTTCTGTCAAAAGATGTTTTCAATCACTACAACTGCAAGCTAAGGGAGCCACTGTAACAAAACACACAGATAAAGTCATTTTGAACCCCAGCTTCTGCTAAGCACAAGGCTTCCTTCCACAGAAAACAAGCAGCTCTGCTCTCCATGAAGTCAATGTAAACATGCCAGTTCTGAATCAGTCCATGAATTATCTCAAATGTTACATATCCTGAAAGTTATGAATATGTCCTCTCTTGAGATTCCCAAGAAAGCACTATCGAATTATAAAGTGTGCTATTATTGCTATATTAATACAGATTCTGTAAAAATCAAGAAAGAACCCTAATTCAATTCACTGTAAGGAAAGGTTCTTTCACTGTCACATGCACAAACTACATCAGGTCCAAACAGGGAACAATTTCTAGATAACAGGCCCTAAACCCTAAATTAGGGATACAAATACCATTTTACAGGAAGAACCATATTCTGTTTGTATGGTTCAAAGGCTGCAGTAATAAAGTACTATTTATAATAAAAGCTCTATTGCCTTTACAGAGTGTTATTAACCAAACTGCCAGATAATGACTGGAAAGTCTTCAGAGTAAGGACAACAGGTGTTTTAGCCAAAAAAGAGACCGAACGCCAAGCTGTGTGAAGGAAGAAACAAGTTGAGACTTCTTATACAGGTCAAAAGAGACCTGTGACAAACTTCTCCATGGGTTACATGATCACTGGACAAAGCTATTCCATAATCAGTTCCTTACACTTCTAAAAGAACTCCCTTATCACAACATCAGTTAAAGAATTGTACACCGACATAAATGTACATTTCAAAACGCTTCGAGACTATCAAAATAGGACTTTAATAGGCAACAAAAAGGAACATTTCCCAAATCTCTCCTGGTACCATCAAGCCTCAGAAATCCACCACTTGGAGCAGGTAGAAATGTAATGAAAAGTGGATATTATCTAGATAAGAAATACATTTTCTCTGAAGAAGCTCAAAAATAAAAACAACAATGGAGAGGAAGACTGACTAGGTAACTGACAGATCACCTTGATCTAAGCTTTTTGACTTGATTTCAACACTGTAAAATACTTCTTCCAACAAGCCTGTCACTTTTATTTAATCTTTTAGTAGTTCATGTTTCTTGCGTTAAATACTCTTCTCAGATTCAAAAGTATATTCTGGGTTTGGTTTTCTATGCATTGTCCTACCCTAGAAATCACTTTTTCACAAAAAGATAAGGCTAATTTTAGCAAAAGGAAAGAATAAACAGTAACTTACAATTAAATAAAAACTGAGCTTTAACAAAGAACGTTGTCCACGACTTCAAATATAATTCTGAAATTTCTTATGCTGCATTAATCTTATTTGTAAAATGTAGAATATAATTTATTATTAACATAAGCAGCATTAATATTTTCTGAATAACCTTCATGTCAGACTTTCCAGATTCATATATGTTCTTTCCTATTATTTCCATCTTTAATAATTCTACTGCAAATTTCTAAAATGTATTTTATTAGTGTCTTCAGGTAAAATAACTCCTTTTCTTTAGGCTACAGTTGCACAACCTAGTTGAACTAGGTCAGTCCTGCCACCATTCTGTCATCATCCCTCTTATTTGTTCCAGCACTGGCACTTGACTGATCCTATGTTAAACCAGCTCAGAAGCTAAGCTAGCAGAAGTTATTTACCTTTAAAAATATATAAATAAATCCATTGGGCCAGTTTAAATCCACTAACACTCAAAGACCTGTCTCCTTGAAAATCACACTGAAATACCCAAATCACTGTGCCATCACCCCCTTTCCTTGTTCACCTGTCAAGGGAGCAAAACACAGAACAAAATAAGCCAAAACCCCAAACATGGCAGAGAAGGAAAATGCCATCCTTGCCAACCAGTGCATCAGCTGGATACAAAGCCAACTCCTCAGCTTCAAAGGAGAGTTTTTAAACTTCCCAGTTATCACAACAGCTGATAAATGCCTTCAGTACCAGCCAGACCACACCTTTACAGCTTTTGAACATTTGATCAGTCCTTCATCCACTACATCCCACAGCGTCTCAAGTTTCAGTTGCATTCCAGAAACTTGACATAAGTTCATGCACACATAGAGGGACTATTTTTACCCTCACTTTTCGCTTGCTATTTTGTCCCCTGCCTCCCCATGTTTAAAAGTCATTTGTTTTAAACTGGATTATAAGACTGTCAAAAGAAAGCATCCCTTTTTCACCGATCTTAAAGAGTGTTACGGCACTAGGAGTACCTGAGTCCTGACAGAAGCTTTTAGGAACAAGGATCTGGGACCTAATGACAGGAGCTCTACTTGAGGTAAAGCTCTACTTGATTCTTCAATTCAGAACAATAAGTCATACTCAAACTGAGCTTTTACTTAAGATATAATACACATTGCATACTGTATACCACATGACAGTCATCACATAATGTTTCACAAAGTATTCAAATGAAAGAAATTTTGCAAATAAGAATTTAACACACACTTTTAAAAAAGACTATGGATTCTATCCTCACTGTAAAACTAACGAGCAAATGCTATTCTTACATACTCTGAATCTACAATATAGATGTAAGATGCAAAATATATTGAGTGCTACAATTGCCTCTCAGAGCTCTTATGAACTGATTTTTTCATTCTTTACATAATGGTAGAGTTTTTAAATTTTTTTTCTGCTTTTGCAGTTCACATATTGAAACAAATCTTAATTCAGAAATTAATTCAAAACAAAACTTGAATAAACAGGATTAGAAAATTACCTTGATTAAAAAAGGCTTTTATATGCTTTACGTGAATCCACTGTCCCTAATAACAGCAAACACAATGGTAACTGAAGAAATGCAGAGAAATGAACCTACTGTTCCTATTAAGTTTAGCATGTTTCCCCCACACACCCTAGTAATTAAATTTCATTAGTTAAATTCCTTTCAGCAGTCAAACAGGCTTCCAAAAGTGAATCAATGTGGTACTGACTTCAAGGCCCAAGGAATGACAGCTCTTCCACTCTATATGAAAGCTGCAAGCTATGGAGGAGTTCATAGACAAAGCCGAATACTCACATTTCTGCTATTAGGGACTCTGACAAAAAGCAAAGCCAACTGAAAAGACGTCAGACTAATCCTTCCAACGAGAAAATCTCCAAAGCAGAGACACTAGAGTCAGTGGTGGAGGACAACAAAACACAGCAGAAGAATTAATGGCATCTCTAGAAAAAACAAACAAGAACACCTTTAAAGGACCTCTTTCCAGGCTTTAATCCTTCACTACAAAGCTGGTTAGCCAGTGTAGGAGGCTAGAAATCACAGATTAGACTCTTAGAAGGTATTCCAATCCTTGCAGAACAGCAGGAAGAGAGGCAGTGAGTCACCAGAAGCTCCCTTGGTGCTCAGAGCTACACTGAGCAAAGCAAGCA